AGAGAGGAATCACCATTGCTCTGAACTGCTCTGCAGCTCCTAGGGATCCATTCCCTATGACAGCTTCTTAGGTGCCTCAGACCAGGCATGTCCCTTCCTTTTCAGGGTCTCAGCTTCTTTATCTCTAAAATGGGTGGGATTTAAGGTATCTTAAATATCTTGCAGTCCCTGACATCTCTCTCACTTCCAGGTTCGGACCCTTTCTCTCCCTGGCCCAGCAGCCCACCCTGTGCTCCTGGGGTTCTGGTGTGGGCTCTGTCCCAAGGGAATTAGCAGTCCCTCTCACAGAGTAAATGCTCTCCAATTCACGGCTCTGGGCCCACCCCACCTCCAGGGCCCAACAATAGGCCCCTTCAGCTCTAGGCTCTTGCTGAGGGGGTTGGGGGAGTGGGGTGAGGCCTGAGCTGGTAGGCAGGGTGACCAGCTGGGCGGCCTCTGCCCAGTCCTGGAAGAGCCCTGGGAGTGGCTGGCTGCTGGGAGCCAGACTACATCCTTCCTCTCTTCCCGGGAGCCTCGGCTGCTGGGCCTTGGTGCCGGGAGGATGTTTGGGCCAGAGGATGGTGAGAGGCAGCTCTCTGCAGTACCCTGCATCCCAGCCCTGTCACTCGGGCGTGTGGGGTGCGTGTGTGCAAGAGACCCAGGCAACTGCAGGAATTTACCCACTGTCACACTCGAGTGGTGTTTATGTGCGGGGGAGGGATGCTCCAGGAATGTATTAGGGCTCTCAGTGTCCTGTCTCTGGGTGTCAGGGTTGGCATTTCCTGACACTGGTCTTTCGCTGGTGGAGCGTGAAACAGCTAAAAAATACTTTCAAGGGCTTCCCTGGTGGGGCAGTGGTTGAGAGTCCGCCTGCCGATGCAGGGGACATGGGTTCGTGCCCCGGTCCGGGAAGATCCCACATGCCGCGGAGCGGCTGGGCCCACGAGCCATGGCCGCTGAGCCTGCGCGTCCGGAGCCTGTGCTCCGCAACGGGAGAGGCTGCAACAGTGAGAGGCCTGTGTACCCCCCCCAAAAAAAAAACTTTCAAGACCAAGTTGGTAGATGTGGGGAGGTACTGGGTTCAGTGAGGGCCTGTGGTTGTGGTGTTTAGTCAGGTTCTTTCCTTTCCTCTCTGAAAGTTACACCTCCTTCTCTGTTGGAGTCAAAGGAGATGAGGCGTAGGGGGGTCCCTGTATCTGGTGTGTCTGCCCCTGCTTCTGTGCCCTGCCTTCCCACCCTCTGACCCCCCTGTCTCCCTCCTCTCTCTCTGCGAGGCTGGGATGCCTGACAAACGAGACCTCCTGCCCATCGATCAACCCTGTGGTATCCCCAGCTCTCCCTTCGCAGTCTGATGAGAAGGCAGCCTTCAGTCAAAGCTCTTCCTCTGCCTTGAGGGACTGCTGTGTTGTCCCCGGGGCTGAAAGAGCTTTGTGGGAGCAAAGTAGCTTAGTGGTTCTGGGACAGGAGTAGCTGTAATGAGATTGGCTGCCCTTCTTCGCATGAAGGTGCTTGCTTTTCTGGATTCGAAATAATGGGGGGAAGCAAAGCCAGGGCCGACAAGGGCAACCAGGCTTATTCCTGGTATTCACTGGACATAAGGTGGTACCAGCTCACTGGAAAAGAGACAGGCCTCCTTTCCCCAGTGTCTGTCACAAAGGCTTGAAGTCCCTTTCAGCAAACTCTTTTGACCAGGTGCCTTGCCAGATTCTTCTTTCAAGGTGACAGATATAAACAGATGGTTACAATGTACAAACCACAAGAGGTACGTACATAGGGCTCCCTCAATAGAATTATGTATTAATACAGAGTGCTAAGCACCCTTTAAGGATCAGAGCATGATAGATAATTAAAATTTTTTTCATCCTTTTGGCTATTTTCCACGTGTAGTATTATGTGTTTATACCACTCTTGTTTTCACACATACTTTAACAAAATAACATGGGAAGCGATGGCAAAAAGAACCGTTTGGGAATAGGAAATGGGAATTTACAAAGGAGATGACGTTTTATTTGGGTCTTGAGGGACCCAAATGTGTAGGAGTTCATCATGAAGGGAAAAGAGTATCACAAAGAATAGCTCAAAGACATTAAAATTAAAGAAGATGTTGTGTCTAGGGAAGGGCAAGTATTTGACTTGGTTGGAATATGGAGACGTTTGAAGGAAATGATAAGAGTTGGAGGTGGACAGATAGGCAAGGGATGGATCCTGAAGGGCCTTGTATTTGGCTCAGTGAGGAATTACAGAGGATGTAAGCAGGAGAGGAACTTCGGATCCGTGTTCAGATGACAGTATAAGAATAGGCAACTACGTGCCAGATGCTGTGCTAAGTGTGCCGTTCATGATCTCATTGAGTTTGCACGTTCTGAAGGATGTACTGTTTATTCCCATTTGCAGATAAGGAAATTGAGGCTTAGAGGTTAAGGCATTTGCCCAGGGGTGAGGTGTCTAGCCTAGGTGGCTGGTGTTGGCTTGTGATGTTTTCAGTCAGGGTATAAGAGCACACATAAGCTAGGTTTAAGGCGGGGGTTGATGAGCTCAATTTGGACATGTAGAATTTAGGGTACCTTTGCATCCTCCTGGTGGAGCTGGCTGTAAATGTCTAGAAGCATGGGTGTAGAGCTTCTAGAGCTCAGGAATGGAGACAGACAGCACATGGTGCTAATTGGAGCCCTGGGAGGAGAGGAGGTGACTCCCAGGGAGGGAAGAGAAGGAAGGGTGAGTTCCAAAGTCTTAGGAAATATCCACAGTTAAGGAGAAGGGTGAAGAGCCCTCAGGGTTAGACTCAGGGCCTGTGGGCTCAGCACTGCTGGCAAATATGCCTCAGGCTTGACTGTCCTCAGGGCCTCAGCTGCCAGGCTCCCCTGGAAGGGAGTGGGCCACTGTGGCCTGGAGATGGAGAGGGTGTGGACAGCCATGGTATGTGTCTGAATCACCCCCTTCTCTCCCTTGGCCTGTGGCCAGCCTCCTCCCCACACCAGTGTGATTTCAGACCTGGGATGACCTGAAGGTGTGGGGTTACCTGGTACAGTTCCCTCTGGGATGAAGTCCCAAGGGGAACCAGCCTGGCCTTGGTCCAGAAGCTTGGGCGCTGCACACAGAGGGGTGAGTTGAGGTTGACTGGGCTTGGTGGGGCTGGCATGTGTAGGCAAGATAATCCTCTGGTTGGGAGAGGAGCCATAAGCCCCCCTCCTTCTCCTCCCCAATATGTTGTTTTCCCTCCAGGGCCTGGAGAAGAGGGAGGGCAGAGATACGAGAGAGCTGACCTGGCATATATTCCTGAGAATACGGTAGATTGTTTTGGAAAAATCTTCTTGGCCGGAAATTACATGTCACGTCTGCTCCTCAGTGTGGATTTGTAACTTGACTGATGCTGTTGGAGAGCCTGGGGGAGGGGAGTGGACGGCAGAGGCAGGCTGGTTCCTGGGCCACTACCGGCTCCCTTTAGAGATAAGGGGGCAAGTTGTAGACCAGAGGGTATACACGTGGGGTGGATTCCCCAAATTCTAGAGGCAGTTTGGATCTTGTGGGTATCTTGTAATAGGATGGCTTTCGGAGGCAGGGGCCTTGTGGAGGGAGGAGGTAGGGAGAAAGCAGGATGGGGGAATGGTTTAGATCAGACTCTTCATCCAACCAGGAGAAGGAGGGATCTGTGGGCCTGGCATTTTCAGCCTCTCTTTCTCGACGGCCTCCTGAGTGTTCCTGCAGCTGCTCCCAAAACCAGTTTCTGTCATAGCTGCAGTAAGATGCAGAGGAGCTTCTGCCTAGAATAAACACCCTGCTTGGCAGGGTCATCCCCTATGCCAACGCGCTTCAGCTGGAGAAGGAGCTTTTGAAGAGAGTGAGCCTTATGGGAACTCACCTAGTGCCCACCCGGGGTCTCCTTCCTCAGTCTTGAGGTGGAATGTGTGGGGGGGGGGGAGGGGAGGGGGGGGGGGGGGAGTGGGGAGTAGAGGTGTCTCAGCATTTCCCTCCTCCTCTGCCCCAAACCCTCAAGGTGTGAGGGTGCCCTGAGCTTATCCCTAAATACCTGGTACTGAGGAGTCAGTGGATGCTTCAGATGCCATTGGAATGAGAGGGTGTGCGTGTGGCACCTTGGGGCCTCTGCCGTGGGACTTCCTCCACTAGCAATGTCCTCATGCTGGCACTGGGTGACAGCCCTGCGTGGACACGTGTTGGAGCAGCTCCTGCGGGAGGGAGTGTGGGTACTCGCACTCTTCTGAGCCCAGAGAGGTCAGCCACAGTGCTCTGCCCGGCCGAGCAGTCTTGGGGGCGGGGAGGGTGGAGGTGCAGGCGGGGAGAAATCCAGGCTGGTGAGAAGAGGTGTGGGCTGCGGAGGGCTGAGGTCTCCCTCCCAGTGCGGATGCGGGGGGCGTGGCTTCCACTGCGGAGAGGAGTGGGCTGGGCAGGTTCCCCGGGCCTGAGTGGAGTGCGGAATGGCAGCGCACCAGGGAGCCTGGCAGGTGGGCGCATGCTTGGAGCTAGGTGGAAGCTGGGCTGGTGGAAGGAGAGGGGTCTAGAGGGAGGGGTCTCAGGTCGAGTTAGGATGGGGGCTTCTCTTCTGTGAGCTTCTTGGACGGACCCCCCCCTTGTCATGGAGTATGGGGGCCCTTGAGTCCCCAGGACCTGATCGGTGGCTGTGGATCTCTGGGGTCCTGGAGGCGGCCAGGGGCCGAGGGGAGCTGTGGCTCCGTGGTCAGTGAAGGTGCAGCCCCGCACCTGGCTCTCTGGGGGGCAGCCTGCGCTGCGGAGAGGCGGCTCCTTGGAATGGAGCCTGTGCACGGGATTGGGGGAGGGGCAGCCGCAGGCCCAGCGGGAGAGACCGCTACCACCAGGCTCTGCTCCCTCGCTCTGGCTGCAGGTGGCAGATACGGGGCTGTGGGGTGCGTGCGGGCCCGAGGACTGGGCCTTCCCTTGGCTGAGGTGCTTTAGCGGTCCCTGCCCTCCTTGTTGAGGATGCTCGAGGCCCGGCCCCTCAGGACGCAGGGCAGTGACGCTGCCGGTGCGCTGGAGGGGCGGGGACTGCGGGAGGGCTCTGCTCCCCTCCCGGGCCCTAAAGCCCGGAGTTTGGGTTCCAAGGGTGAGAGATTTGCATATCTGCGCCTCACTGGGGCCGAGGAGGGACAGCAGGTAATAGGGGAAACCTGAGGGATAGCCAGGTAGCCGGGCCCTAGACCGCATCGTCTGCTGGTGAGCTGAGGGGAGCCTTTCAGGAGTGAGGGGTATCTGTGATCCTGGCCCCAGGACAGATCCTGGGGGCTGGGATGCTGGGTAAAGAAGGGTGATGTGTTTGTGTGTGGGGTGGGGCGGGGCGAGTCAGTGGTGGTGAATTCCTGTTGCTGACATCTGCTTCAGTATCTCTGAGTCCTTGGGACCCAATTAAGCTGCCCTTTGGGCTTGCTTCATCGCTGCAGGGGAGCCCCGAAAGCACTGCCAGGATGTGGGTTTAGTCCTTTATGGACACTGAGTCCCTGTGCCCTGGACATTCCCTCTTATTGGCTTTATGAATCTGCGTATTAAGCCAAATGTCCCTGTTTGCTTTGGAAAACATGACCATGGTATTTATGGGTCGGCTTCCCTTCCCCTTGGAGATCAAGCACTTTCTCTCTTGACCAGTAGAGGGCAGTCACTGACAGGACGAAGCGGGGTGGGGGTGGCGGTGCAGAAAGGTGGCTGTTTTCTGGGGCTGGGAGAAGAGGTCCAGGAGCTGGCCTGACCTCTGACCCCTGACCATGCTTTGCTTTTCTCCACAGCCTCCCGCAGCTGGATTGCTGAGCAAGCTACTGAGGCTTGTTCTTACCTGATGTTCAAGGGAACAGGCAGGCATGGGGTTCTGGTGGATTTGGGGCACATCTTTCAGGGGGTGGCTATAATTTTCAGTCTGGCCATTCCAATCCAGCAGTCCCCCAACTTGCGGTAGAGGGAATAATCCTGCTTAAATTGTCCCTTGAAGTCAGGTCCCTGGATCTCCTTCAGAATGGTGCTTTGTGGGAAATAAGCAATAGGCTTCTCTGTGCTGTGGGCATTGTGAGCCAGCGTTTGCGGGAAGGTCAGCTCCATTGTGACCTTGACCCGACCTCATCTTGTCCATTAGCTCTGATTCCATTCTCAGACTGGTGATTCACTGGCACCGAAGGGAGGCTGCACCTGGCTGGCCTCACAAGCTTTGGGTGGTGGTGGATGACATGACAGGGGGATGGGAAAGAGGACTGATTGCTGGGGGTGTCCCATTTCCCCCCTCCTTGAGTCAGATCTGGAAACGACTGTCCCTGCAGGCACCTCCCTGCCAGGGAGGTCAAGCACTGAGAGAGAGGCCCTGGAAAGAGCCTGGGATGCTGACTCCCCAAAACTCAACCCCAGCTGCCTACTCCACCAGCCAGCTGGGACTCCCAGAGCTGGTGGCCAGCTGGATAGGGACAAGAGAGCAGTGTGCAAGAAACAGGGGCTCCCTGGGCATGGCTGGGAGGGGGGTGCTGAGGGAGCCTGAGAGGACTTCCTGCAGCTGTCAGGTGTGTCTGGGGGCTGTAGCGAGGGGGGTATAAGAGCAGCTGGCGCCCTTGAGGAGGGCCAGAGGGATCACTTGTCAGCTCTAGGAATGTGTAGGTTCCACGGGGGCTTCATGGGGTGACTGCAGTTCCCTCTGGCTGGGGCTGTTGTCTGTGTGTGTAGGTGCTATTCAGGAGACATCCTATGGCCCGGAATCCTCTAGCTTTGGCTGGGGGCATCGCAGGGTTTAGGGGCATATTTGTGTGTTTTGAGGGGGCTTTGGATCTTGGCCAGCTGGACTGGGAGATTCTTCCCCCCACCCCGGCTCTTGGCTGGACTGCCCCGCTCTGGCAGGCTGCCGGACTCCTATTTCCGTCGGGCACCAGGGTAACAGGGCCACATTAGGGCCTGAGCCAGGAGACGCCCAGCCAAGGCTGGGACTGGGAGATGGGGGAGGGTCTCCGAAGGGTCTGCCTGCAAGGTCCAGGAACGACTCTCTGGTGTCCAAGCCCCCAGCTCAGGCTGTGCACTAAGCCCTCACAGCCCCAGACAAGCGCTACGGGGGCCTCTTTGTATATTGCTGCCTGATTGACCTAGCCCCCACCCTAAAATCCCAGGGGTTGTCTGCAGCTCTGGGGGCTGGGGTGGAAGCCAGAGACAGGGGCCTTGTGTGCGGGGAGGAGGTGGGGGCAGCGCGGGTGGCTGGGAGGAAGAGTACCCCCATTCCCGCCGCCCTCTTGGCAGTGATTCAGAAAGGTCCTTTTTCAGCCAGTGTCAGAGCTGCTCAGCTGCGGAGGGAGGGGGGAGGGAGGCGGGCTGGCGGGGGAGCCAGGGAGTAGGGCTGGAGCCGTGACCACTGCGCTGGAGAGAAGACAGAGAAACACGACTGAGGACCCAGGCTGCAGTCAACTGAGAGAAGAACTAACTCTCTCCTGCCAGGGTAGCCAGCTGTGGAAACAGCTGTAGAGCAGAGAAAAGGGGACCACCCTATTCTTCTGCTCCATTTCCCACCCCTGGTGTGGGATTTGGGGGGTCTCTGGGGCAGACCTCTGGCCAACTTCACTTCTGGGCAGAACCTGAAATTCAGGAGCTGAGACCACTGCCCACCCCACCTCCCTCGGGCCAGAGCCCCGGTGACCTGGTCAGGGGGTCCAGCTCCGTGGAGATGCCAGCAGCTCGTCGGTTCCCTGGCTTAGAGCTCTCCTTCCCTCTTCTTGCCAGACTCCGGCGGAGACTCTACACAGTGAGTGGGGGGTTGCGGGCAGGAGCTGGACAGACTGAGAGGCAGCCCTGCGCTGAGGGCCAGAGAGCAGGACCGGGCTGCTTGACAGGGGTTCAGGGCCTCCCTGCTCCAGCGGCTGCATTCTTGGTGGCGAGTGTGTCAGGAGAGCGTGTGTGGGAAGTGTGCGTGCCGGCCATGAGAGCCACACGTGTCAGACACAGGTGTGTGGACGGGGCTGTGCTGGGGGCAGCCGCAGCAGTGCCCTGTGCTTCACCGACAAAGACATGGGCTAGAGAGGGAGGGAGGGGAGGGAGGGGACATGTCCAGGGTCACCCTGGGTGGGGTGGTGGAGACCGGACAGGGACCCTGGCTGCTTTCTTCTCACCCAGATCCCAGTGTTCTCTCTAGTCTTCCCCCCACACACACCCGCCCCATGCAGAGCAGCCCTGTTCCTGGGGTTGGGGAGCAGGGAGAGGAGGACCCAGCCGAGCAGGGAGATTTGTTAGCTGGTGTTTCATGGGTAAAGGAACAGGGCAGACTGTGCTTTCTAAGCAGCTTCTTCAGGGGAGTGGCCTCTGGGTCTCTCCCAGCCAGGACCACACAGGGCAGGGCTTGGACCTGTTCTCAGGAATGGCTGCCTCCTACCCCCAGGAGGGTAGGAACGAGTGGCCTGGAGCCCTGGGATTCGGGGACTGGGGAGGAAGCAGTGGGGATCTTCAGACCACTTGCCCTGGTGGCCAGCCTCTTCTTGGGCTGAGCCGTGTAGGGGGTGGGATCATTTTGCTCCAGGGATGGAATAGTGATGGCGGAAGTGCTGCCTGGCCTCTCCTGGTCACGCCACAGAGAGACGGGGCCTAGGTTAGTGATTTTCACAGGGCACCTTTGGGGCTTTCTTCTGGAAAGCAGTGGTGCCCTGCCCTCTTAAGTCCACACCTCCTTGTTTGTAACAGATGGCTTTGCTGTGGATAAGTGAGTTAATACAGCTAAGTGCTCAGAACTGTGCCCAGCATGTAGTTAACTGTAGTTGAAGTGTTAGAGTTTTTATTTTTCTTAACTAAAATTAAGAGAAATACAACCTGTTTACTCTGTGTGTGTGTGGTCAGTCAACTTAATGCCTCCTGTAATATAAAGGAGAACCAAAAGGAAATCGATTGTAGCATTTCGTGTATTCTAATATGTCAGTACAATCTGACATCACCAAGCAGTCAGATGCTAAGACCTCAGGTAGAACCAGCACGGCAACATCTACACAAGTGCTGACTGAGAGGAGAGTTTTGAAATAGTAGGGTAGGCTGCTTTCAGTGATATTTTTCTGAATGGTGGACAACTTCTGCTAAGTTCCAAACAAAGCAAAAGGCCAGTTTTCCCTCAGTTTACACAGTAGCTCCATTCCAGGAAGATTCAGTCTGTATTAACACTGTAAAAATGCTTTCTTGTTCGTATGTAAAGTGGGGTTTCATTTATAATCGGATGATTATAAACAAATTTCTCACCTGCATGAATTAAGTTGTATGGGATTTGGGACAGTGTGTGAGTCCCCCAGCCACCCACTCAGTGCCACTAATGGTCCCCCAACACTGTGACAGCCAAAAATGCCCCCTAGGGGGCTGTATGGCCCTCATGAGAACCATCTGGGTGAAGGGTTAGGGCTTAAAGTTTGGAAACCCCCTTCTGGCCCAGCCACTTTGGTAGAGGAGCCAGGGTTTGAACTGAGGGCTTCTCTTTCCCAGTGGTGGCTCTTTGTACTGCCCTGAGCTGCCTGGGAGAGTCTGAGCTCCTGGCACTGGGTTGGCAGCACCTCTGGGAACTGTGAGAGCAGAAGGCTCATGCTGGTCCCAGGCTGTGAGCACCTGCTCTCTTAGTGTGAACTGTGATGAGCGCTGGGGGACAAGGCCACCTCCAAGTCGGGAGGAGGGGGTCTTGGGGCAGCTGGCCTTTTCCCTCATCCCTGTCTTCTCCAGTGGTGATTGAACACGGGTCAGGGGCTGGCCAAGCCCTCAGCTCTGACGGGTCTTACTCGGACAAGGATGGGTTTAGTGTCGGGCTGCTTAGTTTTGAGGGTGCCACTGGCTTCTTTCTCTGGGCCCCAGAGGGTGTAACAGGTCTGGTGGCCCCTTGGCTGATTGAGGCCTGCATGTAATTTTGTTTGACCAGCACAGCATACACATGTGCTTGCGTGTGTGTATTTCAAACTTGAATTAGTTGACATAGTTCAAAAGTCAGGAGAAAGATCTAATGTCAAGTGTAAACAAGGAACAGAATGGTGTGGGTAATGGGTGAGTATTTGTGTGGGGAAAAAACAAGTCTGGAAGAACGCGTAAAAGTCATGAATGGCAGCCGACTTTGGGGATGGGGCTGAGGTGGCTGTGCGGCAAGAGAGGGATGAGACTTTATGGCTCTCGTGTGCCTTTTGAATATCTTACATGTGCGTATAGTACCTTTTCAAAAAAAAATTTTAATAGCGAGATTTTACACGTTGATTCAGATTTCTGGTATTTCTTGAAAACGTTGAAAGCTTTGACCACAGTGGGCCAGAGTCTGTTGTGACAGCCATTGACAGCAGTCTGAAAGCCCGCCCCAGCCTCTGCCCCTCCTTCCCTCTGACCCTCCTGTGGTCCTGGAGGTGTTTGTGTGGTGGCCTGTGGAGGGGTCTTTGGACCTGGGGGGAGGCTCATACGATGTCAGGCGTTGAGAGGACAGTAGCTAGAGCTCATCTAGTCCCTGTGGGGTCCATCAGGTCTGGGGAGCTCATGGATGGGTCTCAAGGGGCACTGCACCCCCAAAAGTTTTGTAATTAAAACGTTATGAATAAGGATGCATATATTTTCCTGGAGATACACTCGATAGTTTTCATCAGATTCTCAAAGGCCTTGTGACAACAGGAGCGTTTAAGAGCCAGTGGGGAACCGGAGAACAGAGTTTGATCTCAGGTCACTCGGCCATGGATGGCAGATTTGGGGAGTAAGACCCTAACTCCAGGGCCTGGGCTGTGTCCCAGCTGCCCTGATTCTACCCTTGTTGCCATAGGAGGAGGACAGGTGGCTACAGGCTCTTCTGTACAGCTGTTTGGGGGAGCAAGAAGGTGGTGTGAGTTCTTCCCCACAGCACATAGTAGGATGTGGGTGAGCCCAAGGCAGAGGCGGGGTCGCCTCTTACCTGCCTGCATCCCATGGTCCCTGAGCCATTCTTCTCTCCCCGCAGAGGCTGGGGAGCAGCAGCATGCAGCCGGAGGAGGGCACAGGCTGGCTGCTGGAGCTGCTGTCCGAGATGCAGCTGCAGCAGTACTTCCTGCGGCTCCGCGACGACCTCAACGTTACCCGCCTGTCCCACTTTGAGTATGTCAAGAATGAGGACCTGGAGAAGATTGGCATGGGCCGGCCTGGTAGGTGGGGGCATTGGCCTTGCCTGTCGTCGCCCCACTGACCATTTACCTCCTCTGTCCTCAGGATCGGCAACCGCATGGAAGAGCCCTCCCCCCTTTATTCCGTGGGGTGGCAGAGCTGAGAACTCTCACTGCCTGTCCAAGAGCCCCCGCGGTGGGGCAGAGGGGCATCAGTAGATGCTGTACACAGTGAGTGCATGAGAACAGTTTGCAGTTGTGAAGGTGAATTGGAGTTTGAGGAATCTTACTTAAATTTCTGGCTACTCAGGATTAACTACACACTCTGTTTTGTTTGTGCAGACATTTCTAGGGTGTATTTCTTCCATCTTCTCCTCTTTTATAAATGCAGAATTGAGTCTGTTCTGAACACCAGGGGGGTTAGTGTCCAGAGGTCTGTGGAGAAGGGAAGATAAAATCCTTCAGATGATGGTTTGCTGCTTTTCTGCCCATCTCTCCCTTTCTCTGTCTCTCCTACAAAGATCTGTTCTATAAGTTGAACTCTTTTTTTTTTCTATGCGTTTATCCTGAAAGTAGTGACTATAGCTTCTAGAAGTCACAGTGTTCCTTGTAGAACATTAGAAACTTTTGAGTGCATTCAGCCTGAAATAGCTAAATAAGTAATGATGTGCTAATTTAGACACTGACTTAGGCTGCTTTTAGCCTAGAGAGTTGATACCTGATGCCAGTAACATAATAAAATTTTACGGGAGAAAAACTCAAAATTGGGGAAATTCTGTCCGTTACCTTGATTTATTTTTTTTTTCTTGAGAGTTGGCATAAGAGCACTACTGTTCAATTTTGGTGGTTAAATACCTCCATCCAGTTCGAGAAGAATTGCCTAGAAGTGGAATGCAGTGACCATCTGGTTAATGGCAGCCCCTGGTTGGTGGGGATGGCTTGTTTCCTTGGTGTCATCGTGCTGGGCAGTGTCTAGTGGTGGACTCCCCCCAGGGTGACCGAGGAAGCCTGCGATGGGCAGCAGCCTCTTGGGGGTGTGAGCGCCTTAACAGCACGGGTTCCCCTTCCTCCCCGCAGGCCAGCGGCGGCTGTGGGAGGCTGTGAAGAGGAGGAAGGCCATGTGCAAACGCAAGTCCTGGATGAGCAAGGTGGGTGGACAGGGAGGGACGTGGGAGTGGTAGCTCACTGGGGCCTCCCCTGGTGTCGTCCTGAGAGCCTTCCCCCACTCCCCGCAGTATAATCTCGCACTTTGTACAGACCTCCCACCTCCGGGGTCTTATCGGGCAGGGTGCTTGTAGAGCTGCCTGGCTAAGCGTCTGTCTCCGCTGGAGACGGCACTGAGTGGCCTGTGTGTAGCCTTGGCTTCACGTCCCCTCCCGCCAGGCAGTGGTGCCGGGCATGGAACAGGCACTTGTTGACAAGTGCGCTGTAACTTGAGCCCTCGCTTTGCCTAAGTGTTGGGGCCGGTGTCCAGTGTGGGGCGGTGGGACAGTCTGGACCCAGGACGTCTTTGCTTCCCTCATCCCACACCTCCCTAGTCTGTGGAGGGTTCCTCTGGTCACCGGGCCCCACTGACAGCTTCCTTCCCCAAGGCCCGCCCCCCACCCCGTTGCCCTAATTTGGGTCTCTGGAGTGGTGAGTCCCAGGTCTGACTCAGGGGAACTTTGCCCATTGTCTGGAAGACAATGTGAGAGGAAGTGAACCAGCCGGGCCTTCCCCCCACTTCTGGCCTCAGGGCTGGGGAGAGGGGCGGGCAGTGCAGAACAGCTGGATCTGGGATTGGGCCGTAGAGATTTCCTGGCTGTGATCTGGCAAGGGGCTGTCTCTTGGGATCCTGTGGCCTTTTCTGGGGACACTGTCCTGGTCCCTTGCCCAGGTTTTAGGGGAGGATGGGTGTGTTGGGGCGGGCGAAGGCAGGAGGGAAGAGCCACGCGGTGTGCAGGATTCAGGGGGTCTTGGATCTACCACCGACTCACAGGAGGTCCCCGGGCCAGTCGGTTGACCACTCCAGACTTGAGGCATGTGGCCAGTAAGACAGTGCCAGCCGCACTTGCCCAGCTCACCTCACGGGGCCTTGGGGAGGGTCCCTTGAGAAAAAGGCTGTGAAGGACCTTGTCATCTGAACACTGCTTGCAAATGGAAGGGATGCCAGTTGCTGGGAGGAAGGACGGAGCAGCGGCCAGAAGAGGCCCTCAGACTGGAGACCCCTTCACCCCATACAGACAAGGCTCTGCCGACCTTGGGGGCAGGGACCAACTGGGCAGAGGGTGCCGCCTGAAGCCGAGGCTTTGCATGCCCTGGTAGGGTGGCCAAGTCAAGCTGACAGGGCCGCTCTGACCCTCAGGGCTTCCCTCCTGTCCCCTGACCTTTGGCCCCTTCCCTCTCCAGCCCAGGCTGCAGAGTCCTCTCCAACCTTCCTTCTTTCTGAGCCCTCAGCTCTAGGCCTCCCTCCAGAAGCCCAGCTGTCTTCCCAGGCCCTTCCCCGGCAAGGCCTTCCTTCATCTGCACCCCCATACACACTCACGGTCCAACCTCAGGCTCAAATTATCCTCTCCCCAGGCAGGATGAAGAGCAGCCGACTCCCTGGGGAGGGTGGAGACAGACAGCGCCAAATGGGCAACCCAGAGACGGGGCCAGGGCTAAAAATGGACAGGAGGTGTTTGCGAGGGCCCCTAGGGCTCCTGCCCATCTGCTCGGGTGAGGGGCTGGAGTCTGTGCTGGGTAGGGGTACAGAGCAGGGAGGGGGGCAGAGGTGGTGCCGGGCTTTGGGCTATCCCTGACCCCACAGCTGGGTGTGGGACTGCAGCCGCCGCAGGCTACATGCCTGGCAGCCCGTTTCTGGCACGTAGCCCGAGGCCACACCGAGGCCGTGGGTTCCCGTTTGGAGGTGTGGTCAGGAGGGGGCGTGGGCCTCCAGCCAGGCCGCCCCCCAGAAGTTTGGCAAAGCCACGACCTGTCTGGCGGCCTCGCCAAGGACCCAGTGGGGCAGGACTGAATGACTGGCTCTGGGACCTCAGGGTTCCATCTGGCCCCTGGCTGCCTTCAAACAGGTGTTCAGTGGAAAGCGGCTGGAGGCTGAGTTCCCCCCTCATCACTCTCAGAGCACCTTCCGGAAGACCTCACCCACCCCCGGAGGCCCAGCAGCGGAGGGGTCCCTGCAGAGCCTCACCTGCCTCATTGGGGAGAAGGACCTGCATCTCTTTGAGAAGCTGGGAGATGGCTCCTTTGGCGTGGTGCGCAGGGGCGAGTGGGACGCCCCCTCGGGGAAGACGGTGAGCTCTCTGGGTCCTGTGGGGCGTGGCAGGCCCTGCTCTGCCCTCTGAGGTGGATCTGTCCCCTCTGCTGGGATGTGAAGGGGGCTGGGGACAGGTCCAAAGTGGCTCACCCTGGAGTCCGTGCTCAGGGTTAACTAGACACATGTTCCTTTTTTCAGTTATAAAACTAATGATCATAAAAGTTTGGAGACTTAAAAATAAGAAAAACAAAAAAAAGCCTGTAATCCCACCACTCAGAGGAAGCAGAGTTAGCATTTACACCTTTTTTCCCTTCAGACATTTTGTTGAATTTCTTTTAAGATACACATTTTAGACACAACTTTTTAACGCTTGCCCTTTCATCTTAGTATTGTATTTAAAAAATCTTCCCCGGAGGGAAAGATAGCGTGTGTGCAGTAAAGCATACAGTTCTTGAGTGTACGGCTCAGTGACTTTTCACATACGCATGGGCCCGTGTGACCACTGCCCAGATTGTGATGTAGAACAGGGGTCCCCAACCCCCGGTCCACGGCCTGTTAGGAACCAGGCCGCACAGCAAGAGGTGAGTGGCGGGCAAGTGAGCGAGCTTCATCTGCCGTTCCCCATCGCTCGCATTAGTGCCTGAACCCTCATATCCAGCACCCCCCCATCCCAGTCTGTGGAAAAACTGTCTTCCACGAACCCGTCCCTGGGGCCAAAAAGGTTGGGGACCACTGGTGTAGAACATCTCTGTCACCTGAGAAGGCTCCCTCATGCCTCTTCCACTGAGTATCACCTCCCCTCAAGGGAAGCCACTCTTCTGATTTCTGTCACCACAGATTAGTTTTATGGCATTATATTTAAAGCATTATATTTAAAGCATTTTAAATGCTTTAAATCCTTCTACACCAAAAACATTTCTTATCATAACATTTTAATATTCCGTCATTGCACCGGTCATCTCTTACCTTGCGGTTGCCACTTAACCTGGGCACCCCCGCAGGAAGGGGAGGCCCGGCTCATGGCTGTTGGGGTAAGCTGCCCTCCCCCTGCCAGGCCACAGGCCCCTGGGACACGCTCACTCACCCGATGAGCAGGTCTGAGGCTGGAGTGGGGAGCAGGCTAGCCCGGAGTGTGGAGGCTGGGGCCTGTCCTGACTCTCTGCAGCCCCCACTCTGGTCAGGTGAGTGTGGCTGTGAAGTGCCTGAAGCCTGATGTGCTGAGCCAGCCAGAGGCCATGGATGACTTCATCCGGGAGGTCAATGCCATGCACTCGCTTGACCACCGAAACCTCATTCGCCTCTACGGTGTGGTGCTCACACCGCCCATGAAGATGGTGAGTGCTGTGGGCAGAAGGGGGATGGCGGCAGGGAGGACCCTGTGCCCCTCACCTCCTGCCTGTGCTGTGGTTACTCCCTGCATCCTGACGAAGGTCAGAGGTCCTCCAGATCCTGCTTTGGTCCCCCACCTGATGTGGCAAGGGGGCTCACAGGCCTACCCCGGTACTGACCGACCCTGGTGTCCGCTGGAGCTCACTTCCATCTCTCTGGGTTTGGCTTGTGTTCACCGGCAGAGGGTTGCACCCACGGGAGGGGCCGGTCCCAGAGTTCAGTGTTTGGCATTTGCTAACCTGAGCCTCTTTGGGTTGCTCTTCTGGGCCTCGGTTTCCCATGTTCCCTAGAGGGGAGGGGCTTGGGAAGCTGTAGGATTCTTAGAGGTCCCTGGAGGACAGGCCAGGGAGGAGCATGGAGCACGGCTCTGGCAGGCCTTGAGGGGAGGAGCTGAGGGAGGGGCAGGGCTCAGCCATGCTTATTCCTCCTTCCTCCTCCGTGGCCTCAGGTGACAGAGCTGGCACCTCTGGGATCGTTGTTGGACCGGCTGCGCAAGCACCAGGGCCACTTCCTCCTGGGTACCCTCAGCCGCTACGCTGTGCAGGTGGCTGAGGGCATGGGCTACCTGGAGTCCAAGCGCTTTATTCACCGTGACCTGGCCGCCCGCAATCTGCTGTTGGCCACCCGTGACCTGGTCAAGATCGGGGACTTCGGGCTGATGCGAGCACTACCCCAGAATGACGACCACTACGTCATGCAGGAGCACCGCAAGGTGCCCTTTGCCTGGTGAGGGGCAGGCGCTGCCGGCTCGTGGGGCCTGGACCACCCCCCCACCCGATCCCTACACACCCAGGCTTCAGAGCTTCCAGGGCCTTCCATACACCCACCAGCCCTTGTCTCTTCTGGGCCCGGGGTGCCCTTGTTGTGTGCCCATCCATTCACTTATCCATCCAGTAATTCTCAGGGGCCCACGTGCCAGGTGCTAGGGTGCACAGGGATAAGTGCTGTGGGACACATTAAGGCTTCCTGGAAGACGCAGTTTTAAGCTCCTGAAATACCAGAAGTTAGCCAGGCAGAGACTGGCTGCTAAGCGTGTCCCAGGTAGAGCTGGGGGCAGGCAAGGCCTTGTAGACTGACGAGGGATGTTCACCTGCACACTGGGGTGGTACCTGGCCCTGCCCTCGCCCCTGTGTGATCTTATCGTGTGCTGAGACTGTCATGATCCTCTGCTGTCAGAGGCTCCTGAAGGAGTGTCATCTCCTTGCTTTGGGGTGGGAGGAGTCGGTCCAGTTCTGGTTGCCAGAAAACCCTCTAATCCAGGATGTACAGTCACCCCTAATTAATTACTGACTTTATATCTAGGATGATCACACATCCTGGATTATGCCTGATGTCCTGGAGTAATTAATAGCACCTCCTTTCATACTCAAGCGTCCTGGTTTGAATGGTAAATTATAAGGTCACCTTTTTTTATGCAGCCCTCTTAAAACAATCCTGTGAAGTGAGCAGATTATTGTTATTCCCATTTCACAGATGAAGAACGTGGGGCTTAGAGCTCTTGGGTGACTTTCCCTGGGTCCCACGCCCTTTGAGTGGCAGGGCCAGCTCTACAGTCCCATGAGGTATCTCTGATTCTCCATCGAGGGCGGCTTCCTCCTCACTCCCCGTGCCTCAGTCCACCGTGGAATGAATACCCTTTGTTAGCTTCCCTGCAGTGCCATTTTTCTTCCTTACCCAAGAGGGAGCTCCAGAGAGTGTGTGGGATGAGGAAAGCGACTGTGACTGTTCCCACCCATTTTGGTTCTTCCCCAGGCCCTATCCAGATTTCCCACCCACACCTTCCTGCTGAAATGACCTAAATCCTAGGATCCTGCCCCAAATCTGGAAATTGTCATCCTCCCACCACAATTAGAAAACAGCCTGAGATCTTATCCCACCCCACTTTTTGCCCCTTCTGGAGCTGCTGACCTTCTTCCTTTCCCTGACATGGGAACATCCTCCTCTCCCCACCCCAGGCCGCGCGTGGAAAAAAGACCTGAGCAGAGACAATTTTGTCCAAGTCTGTGCACCCCGTAGTTAAGAAGTCCTTAACTTCACACTGCGCTCCCAGTACCTACTGTGAACCTGGGCACGCGGGGCAACGGCACACTTGTGCATGAGCATTTGGGGTCCACTGGCGCTGATGCAGGGGGTGGGGGTGCCCTGAGAGGCCTTCTGCTTGACCCCTGCCTCTGCCAGGTGTGCCCCTGAGAGCCTGAAGACTCGCACCTTCTCCCATGCCAGCGACACCTGGATGTTTGGGGTCACGCTGTGGGAGATGTTCACCTATGGCCAGGAGCCCTGGATTGGCCTCAATGGCAGTCAGGTGAGGGGGCTGGGGCTATGCTCCCCACAGCGTGGCTGGGGGTTGATTTGATCCTTGTCTCCCAACCTGGCCCTGTTGGAACTGGCTCCTACCTGTTGGAATCCCTGTCTCCCTTGCGCTGTGTCTGCCTGACCCCCTCAGGTAAGCTGAGCAAAGAGCACGGCCCCCAGTGGTCAGGAACAGGCCGGCCTGGGCTTTTTCGCAGTCCTCCTTTGCCACGGCCCCCTGTTCGGAGGCCCCAGACCTAGGGGTAAGGGTCAGAGGCCCAGGGCGCAGGCAGAGCTCTTCTTTGGGGTACAGGCATGGCGGCCAGCAGTTCCAGCCATTCCGTGGGCTGGGGGGAGGGATGAGCGGTGAAGAGCCGGGTGCTCTGTTTGTCCTCAAACTGCACCTCCCCCCCACCAGATCCTGCATAAGATTGACAAGGAGGGGGAGCGTCTGCCCCGGCCCGAGGACTGCCCCCAGGACATCTACAATGTCATGGTTCAGTGCTGGGCTCACAAGCCAGAGGACAGACCCACCTTTGTGGCCCTGAGGGACTTCCTGCTGGAGGTGAGGGCAGATCTGCCCCCGGGGGCAGGGGTATCGAGCAGGTGTCACCCTGAGGTGGTTAGTGACCTGTCTCTGCCCCCAGGCCCAGCCCACTGACATGCGGGCCCTTCAGGACTTTGAGGAACCAGACAAGCTGCACATCCAGATGAACGACGTCATCACCGTCATTGAGGGGAGGTAGGGAGCGCGGGGGGCTGTGCCTGCACCGCCGTGAAGGGCGCAGACTGGTTGGGCTTGGGGCCCAGAGCCGTTCTGCCTCTCAGGTCCCCATGGCAACAGCCCCTCTCAGGGCTCCTGCAGCAAGAGGGGAGGGCAGGCCTGGGTCCTCCTGAGTGCATGGGGTTAAGTATGCAGGTGCGGTGGCTCGCAGGGGGGTTTCCCTGCCTAGCGTCTCCTCTGTCACCCTTTTCCCACCAGGCTCCAGTGCTGGCTCTGTGGGTTGGGGCCTCACTGCCGTAATGGTGGGATGTAGGAAGTGGAGCAGCCTGGCCTCGGGGCCCAGCTGGGACTCCTGGACATTCCTCCTCTTATCCTCCCCTGCCCCACCTCTTCCCTCTCCTCCCAGGATAAGGACTCTGGACTCCCACCTGGGTGCCCTTCAGTAGCCCCAAGCAGCCCTGCCTCTTTCTGGCAGCCTCTGCCTTCCCAGGGCTCTCCTCCGTCCTCTGCTGGGCCTCCCACCTGGCCATTTTGTCCCCGGGCTGCCCTCACAGGGTCTCTGTTCCTGCCCCCTCAATCCCCCTCACACCTGGCAACAAGTGTCTGCCTGCAGGCAGCCTCTCCTGAGTCAGGTCTCCCACCTGGAGCCCCCAAAGTTCAAGCCTGCCTGCTGTGGAGGCCCCCCTACCGCTCAGGCCACCCTCTGTTATCTCATCCCCAGGGTGTCTGAGAAGCTGGTTGCGGTGGGGCGGGCTAGAGGTGCCTTTGGGGTAGGGGGTGAGCACGGAGGACCCGGAAGAGGAGCGAGGCAGAGGAAATCCCCTGCGCTCCCAGCCCCTCTGACTCAGAGCCAGGCAGGGACTTCCCACGGAGCCCTTCCTACCTGGACTTCAGGTTTGGGGGTCTGGGACCTTTGGATAAACCTTGTGCCTCATGGGGGGTTGTTGAGGGGGAGTGTTTCTGGGTCTGAGTCAGACTGACAGAGTAGGCCCTGGAGCCCGGGCTGGCTGTGGAGGAGCATGGCCTGCACACGCTGTGGCCCCACCATCTCCTCCTCAGGCTGGGGCTCCCCTCACGTTCGGGCCCAGTATCTGTGAATTAAGAATGACATCCTAGCAAGTTGGGCGGGGGGAGGTATGGTTGGGGAGTTAGTGGTGGTGGACAGAAAGCTAGAAAGCTGCTAGGAGAGAAGCCTGGAGGACAGGAAGGAATACGTAGTCTGCGGTTTGGAGCTCAGGGGCCAGGGAAGGGAATGCAGGCGTGGCAGTCTGGGGAGCATTCTGGAAATAGGAAGATTAGGGTGGGGGCCCTTCTGGAGGTGCATGGCAGGACCTTCAGCTAGAATCTGAGCCTACAGCCATTCCCACCTCCAGGAGCCAGAGGGCCCTGGACCTGAGCCCTCTTGTGCCCTGTAGTCCCCAGGTCTTTACTTCCCTCATCCCTTGCTCTCAGTAGGGGTGACTCAGGGGCTTTGTGTGTTTCTGGGGCGTTTGTCTCTGGAGCTGGCAACCTGGGTCACCACTGGAGTGAGGCGGGGAACAGGAGGGGAGAGGGGAGCCGCTCCTCCTGGGAGGCCACCGTGGGCGGGCCCTGCCCCGCCCTTTCGTCACAGGCTTGGGTTGGCCCAGCTGCTGGCTCCACCGCCACTGCCTGCCAGTGTGGGCTTGCTGGGTTCTTCCTCCAGGGCCACCAGCCGACTTGGACCACAGTGCCTGCCGCAGGTCCCTGGAGCTACTCAGGAGGTGGGAGGTGAGGGGCAGGAGGCATGACAGCCGGTGAGGCTTTGGGAGTGGGCCTGTGTGTCGGTGGTACCAGAGCTTTAAATGCCCCCTTGTTTCCTTGGTGCCCCAAGTGTGTTTGTTTGTCTGGCTCTGTCTCCGTGTCTCCGGGTGGGTGGGCTCTGTTCATGGGTGTCCCTTTGGGTCTGGGTTTGTACGTATGGGTCTCCGTCTGTTTCTCCATCTTCCTTTAGCAGCCTGGCTCTCAGCTGTCTCATATCTGTGCTCTTCTGTTAGACTGGGGTTTCTTCTTGCAGAAGCTGTCTCCTAGCCAGAGTCTGGAGCACCCTTGCCCCTGGCTCTGACTGATTCTTTAGACTCAGGGCTTCTCGGGGTACCAGGCGGCGGGCAGAGAGAGGACACCAGATGTCCTGTGAGCCAAGCTTGCGAGGCTCTGTCTAGACTGTGAGGGACAGTTGATGACCACTCTTTTTCCAGGGGGTCTTCTTTGGAGGCTGGGGTGGCTGACAGAACTTTGATGTTCTGTTTTCACAAACCAGAGAAGGGGGACAGAGATTCTGAAATCCATGTGTAGGTCCTTGGCCTGGCCTGGTCCCTGGAGCCTTTGCTTCCTGTGGTGGGTGGGAGAGGGGGAAGCAAAGGGGGTGTGTTGTCCCTCAAGGCCAGGGGCTGCCGGGGACACCTGGAGAGAAGTGCGTGGGGTGGTGTTTTGAGCAGAATGTTGAAGCCACATTTGTCAGCCATTTCTGGGCTGCCTAAGCCAGAACTGGGATAATGGGCTGAGGTTTCCAGAGGCTGGTCCCCAAGAGAGCTGGGGCAGCCGTTGGTGGTTCTTAACCCAGGCCCTGGTGTTTCCCAGGTGCTGCTTCACATCTTGTCTGTCCCAGGATGCTGTCAGGCAGCCTGCTGGAGGTGCCTGTCTTTGCTGCGGGGACTGTGCCCTCCACTTGCCATGGAGACTCTGGGCTGTTCTTGGAAGGGGAAGGGAGGTGTGGCCAGAGCAGGCTGGGTGGGAAGGGCTGGTCTGGTCCTCTCTGGGCCGAGCCTTGGAGGGGGACCAGTGGGCAGTGTGACGTAACGTTGGCCATCTCGGGAGTTATAATTGACCCTCGTTGGGAGGAAGCTGCTTCCGTGCTTGGGATGTCATTCCCAAGGGGGTCTTTCTTATACATACTCTGCACTCCCCACTCCCCTTCCCCAGTAGCAAGGGCTGTCGTGCCTCCTGCCCCTCACCTCCCACCTCCTTTTTTGAGACTTGATGTGAGGACTCCCAGCAGTGATAAAGGGAGCCCTTCCTTCTGGGCCTGGCTCTAGCCTTGGCCATACCTGTAACAGAGAGGTAGGCTTGGCTCTGCTCTTGCTCTCAGAAGTGGGTCCAGAGGAGGCTTCCGAGTGAGGGTCTGTTAGCAAAAGGAAGGGAGCAGAGGGAGTGACCTCCTGCCCATCTGGTCTTGCTCAGGGTCCACTGGGAGGGCGTGGTCACGGCATAAACCTGGCCTTGGACGCAAGTCTGTTCCACTCTGCACTGCTTCTCCACCTCAGTTAACGAGCATCTCTGAAGAGGTGTGGAGAGCAGAGTCCAGCGTCCAGCCATGGGCTTGGTGTCTGAGCCTGTTCCGTGGAGGGGCACGTGGGACCCAGGGGGCCCATGGGTGTTGGGTGAGAGCAGCATCGGGGTCTGGGGGCCAGGGGCTCCCCACCCTGCCTCCTTGGCCTCAGCCGGCCTGGGGGTGTGGGGTGGGGGGAGGGGAGGCGTTTCTCTCTTTGGAATGGCCCTGCTATTTTTGGATGGGCTTTGTCCCTTCCGGGTGTTGTCCTCTCTTCTTCCTTCCTTTCCTGCCCTTCCCACCCAGGGGCGCTGGGTGGTAATCACAGGGTTGCTGTGTCTGTGGTGGCTGGTCAGCAGCCTTGCTGACAAGGAGGCTGGGCTCTCGTCCCTCCCCCTACACGCCTCTTGGCTCCCCAAGGATTGCTGTGTTTGTGGGGTTCGACATTAGGTCTCTGGGACAGGCTCTTTGGGGGTCACACTGGCCCAGTGGCCACATCACCTCGCAGAAGGGGGTCCAGGTGTTCGGGCCTCACTGCCTCCTTCCAGCCTCCACCTCCCCCAACCCCTCTGGTCTGGCTGCAGCTTGGAGGAAACCTTTCTTTATGCTCCTGCTGTGGACAGGTGATGTACAGGTGGGGGGCTGACAGTGAGCGGATGCAGCTTGGTGCCACACACGTCCGCTGCAGCAGCAGCATGAGGCTATCACCACCTCTGCCTTAGCCCAGATTCTGTGCCTGTCCTCAGGTGTGCGTGATCCCAGCAGATGCAGGAGCCTCGTGGCCTGTTGGATTTTGGGCATTGGAAGCGTCCAGGAGGGCGCTCTGTTCTTTCTTGCCCACCTGGCCCGGCTCCCACCCCCACCCCAGGCCTGGACTTAGGCTGTGCCAACAGATTCTGTGTCTGAGGTCAGAGCGAGGGGCTGGTGGTCCCATAGTCCAGCCACGCTGGGAGCCTGGGTTCCCTTCTGGACCCCTTGTTGAAGACAAGAGTGGAGCTCTCCTCCCAAGGAGGTGGATGGGGGCCAGAGTGGGGGTCCCACGGTCCTGGCAGGAGGTGGTGGAAGGCACTGGAGATGTGTAAACTGGTGATGTGATAGCGTGGGTTGCCCCAGGTGCTTCCAAAACTTGGAGGGCTGACTGCAGGATATGGGACTGTGGTAGGAGGGCTTGGCCCCAAGCCCAGTCCTGAGGCCATGGTTCTCCCTTGGGCCGTTGTAGCTCAGAACTCCTGGAACTGGGTTGAAGAGTGAGATCGGGTGGCTAGGAGAGGACTAGGGCTTAGGCCTTGCCAGGGGAGGAGGGAGGCGAGGTGGTATTGTGAGAAGGGCGCTGGCTTCACGGATTAACAACTGGGTTTGAATCTTGGATCTGCTGTACTCTTTCTGGTAACTGTAGGCAAGTCATGTCACTTGTTTGAACCTGTTTCCGTATTTGTAAACTGTAGGAAAAGCTATCTGACCCACCTAGGGCACTTAGGGTAAGGCTGCGTGCAAATACCAGGCCCTGTACTGGGTGAGTGGCAGGTCCTGGGGGGCTGCTGGGAGGAGGTGGGCTGGTGGCAGGCTACTCTGATCCTGGGCCCTTAGCCCTTGTGCTCCCTTCTGCCAAGGTGGTCAGATACCACGGCTAAAGAGAGCTTGGTGTAAAAAGGGTCCCAGTCCTTGGGACTGTCCCACCACTCCCTGGTGTTCACCATGTCACCTCTGTTGCACAGGGCTGAGAATTACTGGTGGCGTGGGCAGAACACACGGACGCTGTGCGTGGGGCCCTTCCCTCGCAACGTGGTGACCTCTGTGGCCGGCCTGTCAGCCCAGGACATCAGCCAGCCCCTGCAGAACAGCTTCATTCACACAGGGCATGGTGACAGCGACCCCCGGCACTGCTGGGGCTTCCCTGACAGGATCGATGAGTGAGTACTGGCAGGGTCCCGCCCGGGGGCTCCAGGGCCAGCAGCCCCTCTCTGGGCATGCAGGCTCTCCAGGCCTCCAAGGTCCCAGTTACAGCCGTGGGCCAAGGGTCTCTTGTTCAGCAGCTTTTCCTTGTCGGCAGAACTGGGGTTGGAGCTTCAAAGGATAAATGGCCTCCAGGGTCCACACCTTAAGCCCCCCTGGCAAACTGGCTTTAGGAGAATGGACTTGGGAAGAGCCTTTGGAAGCAGTTCAGTAGGAAAGCTTCTCATGATCCCCAGCACTTGGGTGGCAGTTTCCCTTCTCCTGCTGGTAGGACCTGAGTCCTGGAGATGGGAGCTGCTGGCTCAGGCCCAGGGGTGCAAGGTGCAGAAAAAGCTCCCTACGGGGAAACTTCAGAGTGCCCACCTGCCTGCTCACTCTGTACCTGGGAGGGGGGTTCAGCCTCCTTTAAGTGAAAAGACGAGGTCATGGGGTGGGGGGCATCTGGGGAGGATACACAGGAGAATTAGTCACTTCCTGGGGGCCCCGCCCTGAGGGTGCCACTTGGAGCTCCTCCTGCTGGGCCTCCGAGCCTCTGTGCTGGCAGCACGGGGCTTCCGGGCAGCGCTCTCTCCTCTGACTTCTGACAGGCTTCTGCCCCGGGGGCGTGGCGCAGCAGGCCCTTCACCCCCTGCCCCGCACACCAGAACGCTGAGCCCTGGGAGGGTGCCCGTCTCTTGCCTCACAGGAGCCAGGCGAGGGCCTGAGAGAGCTGGGGCCGGAGAAGGCAGACACCTTCCAGAAGGCGGACCGGCGCCCTCTGCCCTGCTCCTGGCGCGCCATGGCCAGCCCAGCCCCATTCCTCCGGGCTTTAATCAGCCCCAGTAACTGCGTCCCAGATGATGAGAGTTGACACAGGGGTTGCAGGTGAATTGGGAGCGTGGCGGTAGCCCGGCCCATACCCTACCTCCTGGCAGTGGGGCAGAAGGATGCCTCCTGTCCACCCTGGCTGGGGCAGTGTGGCCCAGAAGCCTCAGGGCCTGGCAGGAGAGAAGAGAGTGTGCCAGCAGGTGGCTGCTGGGCATGGATTGGGGTGCCTTGGGGTTACAGAGGGCCAGCTCTGCCCTTTTGGGGTGTCCTTGGAGCTCCTACAGTCCTAGGTTTTTCAGCCTACAGTCAGGAGTTCTTTCTCTGCCCCCTCTCCACTGTACCCTCCCCTGGTTCCTGCTAGATCTACAGAAGGGAGCTACCAGGGTCAGAAGTCCTGGGCTCCAGGCCTGCGTCTGCAAGGGGCTTGGATGACATGGTTCTGTCCTCTGCCTGACCCCAGGGGACAGGCCCAGCACCTCCTCCAGGGTGCCCTCACTGCTGCTGCCCCACACCCTTACCCACCTCTGACCTGCGTCTCTCCCCACAGACTGTATCTGGGAAACCCCATGGACCCTCCCGACCTGCTGAGTGTGGAACTGAGCACCTCCAGACCCACCCAGCATCTGGGCAGGGTGAAAAGTAAGGGCCCCCAAGCCTGGTCCCCTAGTTCCTCAGCTGCCCAGGAAGGGATGCTGTCTCCTCAGGCCACCCCGAGCTGGCTGTTCCTGCTCTGGGATGGTCGGGTCAGGGCAGCATGGGGACAGCTGTGTCCCTGGCTCCGGCTGGGCGTGGGGCGGACGGCAAGAAGCAGCTGTATCCGCCGAGGTGGGCATCCTCGGTCTGGCCCGCACTGGCCTGCCTGCTCAGCTTCCCTCCTCCCTCCTCCTTCCCGCCGTGCTCAGATCCTGGCTCTCCTCACTCCCCCTAATCCTGCTCTTCTCTCCTGCCAAAACCACCCCACGGGCTCCATCTTGGCCAGGAGCCTCATCCATCTCCCGGATCCAGGGCCTGTCGCTCCGGAACATAGTTTTCCCATCCTGCCGCCCCATTGCTTCCCATTGCTGCTGGGTTTGTACATTCATTTGCCCCTTTTCACATCTCTCTCTCTCTCTCTCTCCCCCCCCTTCCCCCCTCCACACTCTGCCCTGTTGTCTGACTCTGTCTCCCCTCCCTTGTCCTTGCTCTGCCCCCTCTACTCTCCGCATGACCTTTCTCGCAGGGGAGCCTCCACCTCGCCCTCCTCAGCCTGCCATCTTCACTCAGAGTAAGTGGGGCTGCTCTTGGTGCCTTGGCCCCCGCCCCTGCCCCCTCTCTCCTCTCATTTCTCTCCTCCTGGAAGGTACAGAGCCCCAGCTGGCCGGGGTGGGAGGGGAAGTGGGTGTGTGCTGTGAGCTTTTGCCGCTGACCTGGCCCGGCATGCCTGCCTCTCCCCCAACCCCCAAAAGCCTGGGCTTTGGGAACAAGAGTGTGGTCCTGGCACCCACTCTGCCACTGTCCGCCATTGCCTGGCCCTGCCTCACTTCCTTTGGGACCTGCAGAGGCCGTGTCTGGGCTTTATGCCAGTTGATCAGGAGCTCTGTCCTCTCTAAGGATAGCTCCTATTGCCCTTGATGGTGGGAGATGGCCCATAGCCCCCTGCCTGCACTAATGGTGTGCCGTAATGGGGTAGGGATTACTAACCAGGGCTCAGGAGCCGGGGTATATGGGATCTTGTGTTGATGGAGGGGTGTCAGGTAGGCAGGTGTGGGGTGTTCTTGCTCTAGCTGAAATGGAGGGAGGGGCTCGCCAGGCCCCATAGAGGGCTGCCAACCACTGGCGCAGGTTCTGCCCTCCTGTTGAATGGGGTCTGGGTGCGCAGAGAATTCTGGCGGCTGAGGGCTGACCTCTGGGGGAATTGGGAGTGGGGAGTTGGTGGGCTGTCTTCCCCACACCCCACCTTTCCCATCGGCCTGCCTGACGCCGCCTCCCTGTTGGGATCTACCTTCCATCGCAGAACCAACCTACGACCCTGTGAGTGAGGACCAAGACCCCCTGTCCAGCGACTTCAAGAGGCTGGGCCTGCGGAAGCCAGGACTGCCCCGTGGGCTGTGGCTCGCGAAGCCCTCTGCCCGGGTGCCGGGCACCAAAGCGGGCCGCGGGAGCAGTGAGGTCACGCTCATCGACTTCGGTGAGGAGCCCGTGGTCCCGGCCCCACGGCCCTGTGCGCCCTCACTGGCACAGCTGGCCATGGATGCCTGCTCCTTGCTGGACAAGACCCCGCCGCAGAGCCCCTCGCGGGCCCTGCCCCGGCCCCTGCATCCCACGCCGGTGGTGGACTGGGATGCGCGCCCGCTGCCCCCGCCTCCTGCCTACGATGACGTGGCCCAGGATGAGGATGACTTTGAGGTCTGCTCCATCAACAGCACCCTCGTGAGTGTAGGGGTCTCTGCTGGGCCCAGCCAGGGCGAGACCAATTACGCCTTTGTGCCTGAGCCGGCGCGGCTCTTCCCTGCCCTGGAGGACAACCTGTTCCTCCCGCCTCAGGGTGGGGGCAAGCCGCCCAACTCAGCCCAGACCGCAGAGATCTTCCAGGCGCTGCAGCAGGAGTGCATGCGGCAGCTACAGGTCCCGGCCGGCTCTCTGGTCCCCTCGCCAAGCCCGGTGGGCGACGACAAGCCCCAGGTGCCCCCCCGTGTGCCCATTCCCCCGAGGCCCACACGCCCACGTGGGGAGCTGTCTCCAGCCCCCTCGGGCGAGGAGGAGATGGGGCGGTGGCCTGGACCTGCCTCCCCTCCCCGGGTACCACCCCGGGAGCCCCTGTCCCCACAAGGCTCCAGGACCCCCAGCCCCTTGGTGCCACGCGGCAGCTCCCCGCTGCCACCCCGGCTCTCCAGCTCACCTGGGAAGACCATGCCCACCACCCAGAGCTTCGCCTCAGACCCCAAGTATGCCACACCCCAGGTGATCCAGGCACCTGGCCCCCGGGCTGGCCCCTGCATCTTACCCATCGTCCGTGATGGCAAGAAGGTCAGCAGCACCCACTACTACCTGCTGCCTGAGCGCCCACCCTACCTGGGGCGCTACCAGCGCTTCCTGCGTGAGACCCGGAGCCCCGAAGAGCCGACCCCCATGCCTGTGCCCCTGCTGCTGCCCCCTCCCGGCATCCCAGCTCCTGCTGCCCCCACTGCCACCGTTCGACCAATGCCTCAGGCTGCCCCAGACCCCAAGGCTAACTTCTCCACCAACACCAGCAACTCAGGGGCCCAGCTGCCAGCCCTGAGGGTCACTGCTCGGCTGCCACAGAGGGGCTGCCCCGGGGACGGGCCAGAGGCTGGACGGCCAGCAGAGAAGATCCAGATGGTGAGTAGTGGGCCTGGCTAACAGGGTGAGGAGGGGCAGGGGCCCGAGGGACCCAGAGCAAGGGGCCCGAGTGGTGCTGACGGGTGGGTGGGTGTGCCCAGCTGCAGGCCATGGTGCATGGGGTGACTACAGAGGAGTGCCAGGCGGCCCTGCAGAGCCACAGCTGGAGCGTGCAGAGGGCTGCCCAGTATCTGAAGGTACCACCACCTCCTGCCCACTCTGGCTTTCAGGGACCCTGAAGACTGGTTCTGCGGCTCTCCTCCAACCCTCCCGCTCCCTGCCCCCACCCTCACTCTCCTCTGTCCCGCCCTGGTCCAGCACCCCTTGGCCCCAGTGTGTCCCACGGCACCACCCTCTGCTCCTCAGGTGGAGCAGCTCTTTGGTTTGGGTCTGCGGCCGCGAGGCGAGTGCCACAAAGTGCTGGAGATGTTTGACTGGAACTTGGAGCAGGCTGGCTGCCACCTGCTGGGCTCCTGCGGCCCAGCCCACCACAAGTGAGCAGACCTTGCCCCTGCCACCTTCCTGTCCCCGGGGTGTCCTGGAGCAGTCACTCTGGGAAAAGCCAACAGCTCACAGCCACACACGGCCAGACACAGGGCTCCAGGCGGGAGGAGGGAAAGGGGTCCCAATCCCAGGACACAGACAGTTCTCGGAGAAAACAGCTTCTCCTAAGCACGTTTATCTAGACTTCACAGGCGCTTTGTTCAAATGAGCTAATGAGTAAAAGGGATTGGAGCCTCTCTGGTTGCAGGGGGCTTGCTTCCCGACCGGGCTCCAGTGAGCAGCAGTTTAGGATCCAGTGGTTTAAACAAATCTCTCTCACCTCTTCATTTCCTATTTCAGTTTAAAGTAACAAAGATTTAATGCCTTTTTAAAGGAATGTCTAATCAAAAAAAAAATCCATTACTTTCCTATAAAAAATGTATGTACGTGTATATATAACACAATATATAGATATATAAATAACATACTTGATGTAGAGTATAAATACATGCAGGTGAAAGTTTTATCAAGTCAAAAAGTGAAATCCTTCCCTGGGGGGCGCTGGCGAGGTGGGTGTGTCAGATTCCTCTGGCGGCAGACAGCTGGAGCTGGAGCCCAGCCTTCTGATCACACGTGGTGTCAGCTTATGCTCCTTCCCTGACCTCTCAGGGTCCTCATCTGTAAAACGTGTGTAAATGATAGTGCCTACCTCGTAGAACTGGTTAGGAGAATTAATGAGGGATGCACCGCACAGCAAGTGTCTGGCCCATGGGACGCCATCGCTGAACGTTGGCCATTACCTCGTGGTTATTCTTACTGATTTGCATCAGTTACTCTAATACACGATACTGCTGGTGTCTTATTCTTAGTTGATTAAAGAAGTTATCCCAGGATGCCAAATTCCAAAATTAGTGCCTAGAACCACCAGTTTTCAACCGACTTGGCTGACCCTGAGAGGCCCCTCTCACACCCACCCACACTGGACATTCCATACTCTGTTGCACCGACCCCTGTTGATGGAAGGGCTTTCTGGTTGTTTCCCATCCTTTAGGCGCTGAGATGTCTGGAGACCCAGAGGATCTGCCCCGAAGGAATCATTTGAGCCTGTCCATCTGACGAGGGTGGGGAGATGCCCTGCCAGGCCAGGAGGACCTGCTGCACCTGCTGCCCCCAGTGGCAGAGCGAGGCCAAGGCAGCAGGAGGCTGGGAGCCCCGCCTTGCCTGTCCCTCCCTCACCCAGCGCTGTCCCTGCAACTTCGGAGCTCTCAGTGCACCCAGCCGAGGTGCAGGAGGGAGCCTTTTGTATGCAGGCCTGGGGGTGGCCTCAGAAGGCCCTGTGGCTGACCTGCCTCTGGCTTCAGTCCCTGGTGGGGCCTGTAGCTGAAATGTGTTGCCAGGCCCTGCCGGCGGGGAAGCCAGGCTTGACACCGGGCAGGGAGGATGTGTTGGCCATGCAGAAAGGTGGACCAGCACCCAGGGCGTGGGCCGGGGTGTCGGACGGAATGTGACTTGTGGCCTCACCATGGACATGTTATGGAACTTGGCTGGTGTTAGGATCTTGTGCCTGGAAATAGCCTGAGGTGGCTCAGGTAGCAGAGCTAGGGTGCCAGATCGTTCTCTGGCAGGGACCAGGGCCCAAGGCCCCAGGGTTGGAAGGAGACCAAGGGGGCAGCTGCCCTGGAGGGACACCAGTGCTTCCTCTGACCCAGCTCTTCCCCTGTGCTGTTCTTTGTTTTCCCACCAGCCTCTTGCCAAAGTTTCTGCCCCGGCTATGAATATCTGCTTCTTCCAGAGAAATAAAGTTAGTTTCTATTTTATGTTACTAATTTGTGTCTGCCTGCTTCTTTGCCTCTTGGTCAGCAGCCCGAGGCTCCTGGGCTCCCCAAGCCACTGCCATCTGTCCCAGGCCACAGGCCCTGTAGCGCCACCTGTTGAAGGAGGGGGTGAAGTGCAGGCCTGGTTGACCCTAACAGGTCTCTCCCTTTCCGGGGCTGGCAGTGGGCAGAGCCCCACCTGACTCAGAGCCCCTAAGTTTTATCTCTGATGTTCCATGAGGCAGGATATACCGCAGGACAGAGTACAGTAACTCAGTGGGAGCTAAGCCAGAAACTTTCATAACATGGAAGGACTCAATATGTATTTTAAGTTTCATTTTCTGAATAGCTAATAATTCACATGGTTCAAAATTCAGAAGGTACTAAAGAGTACACAGTGAAATTCCCCAGCCCAGCTGCCACCTCTCCTCTCCAGAGGCTGCCTTTAGCATCAGTTTCCCGTGTGTTTCTAATTTTTTTCACTATTTTGAAGAGCTCCATAGCCTTACTGAAAGAACTCTTGTTTAGGGTTGCATGGATATGGTTTTACAATAATCTATTTAACCAGGCCCCTTTTGATGGAGGATATTTGGTTGTTTCCAGTCCTTTGCAGTTATAGCCATTGCATCAATAAATGGCAAATGTGGGTCATTCCTTACTTGCAAGGCAATCTGAAGGATGAGTTCCCAGAAGCAGCACTCCTCAGTTAGGGTGTGTGTGGCTGAGGGATCCTGCCAGTTGGGAAAGTTTTCTCCCCACAGAGGAGGCTCTTCCCGATGTTACAGCCACCAGTGTGTGAGAGCTTTCCATGTGGTACCAAAGCTTTCTGATTTTTGACAGTATGACACGTGGAAAATGGTGTCTTGATAGTTTTAATTGCATTCCTCTAATGAATGAATAAACATTTAAAAAATAAGTTGGGCCATTTATATTTCCTTTTCTATAAGCTACCTATTAATAGCTTCTGTGGAGCCCTACATCAAGGGCACAGGACAAAAATTCTGGAATTAACCAAACCCCCATGGCAACTGTTGCGATGGGCTCTCCTAGTCTAAACCGGGCAGCCCCCCAGCTCCGTATTAGGCAAAATGATCACCATGTCATAACCTTGTAGCATCCTGACCAATCACCTAATGCCATCCTGCCAGCAGGAATTTCTTTGTCTTGAGGCTATAAAAGTTGGCTACTAGCCCACAAAGGGGGTCGGCTCTCCCTGGTCTATCAGGAAGTTGGCCCGCTGTATTGGCAGCGCCCCTCACTAACTCGGCTCTGCTCTTTGTTCTCAATAAACTCACTGTTTTCTAAAATACTTCGTGTCTGGAAATTCTTCCTCCAACCCGCGCTCGGACCACGACATTTTGGTGGCCCGTACGGGGACCTCTTGGGGGATCTCCTCCCCAACCCCCTCTCCTCATTTCTTGGGACCCTCTGTGAACAAGCAAGCTGTGGGGGAAGCAGCAGAGGAACTCTGGCCAGGGCCACGCCCTGGTGTGTTCTGAAGGCTCCACGGCTCACTTTGCCCCAGTGACTGCCGCCCAGAATGCGTGAGGTTCCCTCTGTCTTCTTTCTGACTAAGGACTAGGCCGATTGGTATTGTGCTGGCTCGGGTCAGGCATTTAAAAGCCATTAGGGTGCCTGCCGCTTGAAGACTCCCATGAAAGGATAGGGGGGTCACGGAACAGCCAAGGCTGTTACAGCTTCTGCCCCCCCCCCCAAGCAAGACAACTTCTGTGCACCATGGGGTACATATCAGTTCAAGCAAAACACTGAGCCCCCTCCCCTTGGCCGCCGCCTTCCTGGCAGGACTACAAGGCAGATTCCTCAGCCTGTCTTCTCTGTTAACTTCCTTTTTCTCAGTCCAGGTTGACTTACAGGGGCCTAGGTGTTGCCTCTGAGCCATCCCAGGAGTGCCTTTTCACGTTTCAGGGAATTGCCAAACAGTGGGTCCTGGGAATCTCTCTTTTCTTTCTTTCCCTGCCCGAGTCGCATGGTGCCTTAGTCGCACGCTCAGGGGTCACCTCTCATAGTTGGACGCGATTGTTGGGATGGTCGGCCCATTTTGTGCCTTAGTCGCACGAAGAGATCACTGGCACAAAGGGGACGCTTTCTGTCAGCTGGTGACTCTCAGTATCCCCATTCTACGGCATACAGGCTAAGAATGGGTTCTGGTACGACTCACCCCTCAGCTGTATCCTCAGGAACTGGAAAAATTTGACCCTGAAAAATCTCAAAAAGAAGAGCCTCATTTTCTTTTGTAACACGGCTTGGCCTCAGTGTAAACTGGGGGACCGAGAACAATGGCCTCTTAATGGCACACTAAATTATAACACGATCCTCCAACTTGATCTCTTTTGCCGGAAACAAGGAAAGGACTCAGAGGTTGCTTATGTCCAGACCTTTATGGCCCTTAGTCAGAATCTGGAGCTAAGGGACTCATGCCGCATGTGCCTTTCTGTTGCCGCCTTATCCTCCCGACCCCCTCTGTCTCCCTCTCCATCAGATCTCCTAGACGACCCTCTACTCGACCTTTCCTGTCCCCCACCCCATCAACCCCCTTTGCTTCAGCCCCCGCCCCTGCCTCAACCCACAGCTCCCCAACAGGCACCTCCTTATCAGGGCAAAAGCCCCCTCTCCCCTCCCCACAAAAGGTGGAGGACTGCCCAACGCCAGGAAACAGATTCTAATATGCTTCCCTTAAGGGAAGTAGCAAATGGAGACATGAGCACTATTAGAGTCCATGTTCCCTTTCCCATGTCTGACATTTCCCAAATTCAAAACAAGTTAGGTTCCTTCAGTCAGGATGGCTACAATATTCTTTAGACTCCGGAGAAAACTGGTTAAAATAAAACTTTTCTTGAAATTGCAAAAGGGGTTCTTTTTGCATGTGCAGTTAGAAAAGCTAGCCTGTTGAAATATTTTTTTCAGAATCCTGACCCTGAGAGAACAAAAATATCCCTAGGAAAAAGTTTGAAGCTAACTCTTATCATGTCCTTGAGCTACAAACACAGCCCACTTTGCCTGAGTCTTCAGCCTTGGGTTAATGAGTAGAACTTCAAGCCAAGAAAAAAAAAAAAGAGGCAAAGAGACATTTTAAATCTCAAGTGGAAACAATGAGATCTCTGACTGTCTGGATATATGTGTATGTCTCAGCATGTGTCTTTGTCTTTGGATAATACTGCTGAGGTTAATTTGTAAGTGAGCTCTATTTAATTGGCTTAAAAGAAAGGTAAGTGCTTACAAATCAAACAATTCTAAAACAAGAAAAATTAAGCTAAATAAATTTCAGGTTCATGTGAACTGGGAAATATTCAATATTAAATTAATACCTGGTGTTAATGTTTATGTTTGTTGATCTAATTAATATAGACATGTCTTTTGGGCCATCAACATTAAGTATAATACTTTTATTGTGCCTAGGTTCAATATAAACTAAATAAGATCTTATTATTTCATTGCTGCAAATTTTTCAGCAATGAAAATAATTCAAGATGAAGAAACTTTTACGAAAAGAAAATAAAATGAGATAAGAGCTTTGGGTGAACTTTTTAGGAATAATTATGTTTTAGGAATGTCTACTTAAGAATAATCTCTCCAGATAGTTGACAACTTAAAACATTGAGTTGTGCTAAATTAAGTTAAAGGATGGAAGTTTATTAAATACCTAGTCCATTTCCAAATAAAATAAGATACTGAAACATTAATTACTGAACACTGGCTTCCTTTTACAGAGAAACAAAAGGTTTGGAACTATTAAAAAATGTGTTGGTGCTACACTGAGATATTTACTATAAGAAAGCACATTCTTCAAAAATTATTCTTTGGATGTATGTTTACCAATCTACAGAGTGATGATATAAAGGACAGTTCATGGTTGCTTAAGGAAAGTAGGATGTATGTTTTTAGTAAAAAAGGGATGAAGAATGGAATTGCATTTTATTAAGGAAAAAGGAAGTAGGACTGACTTACAGGTAGCTGTTTTTGAATGGGAAAATAACGTGATGGATACAGAAAGTGATAAAAAAAAGGTTTGTGGAAAGTGGACCCCGAGAAAAGAGTTTTATACATGGTACAATTTTCTTAAGATGTTGAACTGCCTTTGCAAAAATACTGCCTCTTCAAGATTTATAGAAAGGACTTTCTAAGATTGAATTAAAATTAATTAGGTAAGTAAATTTTGTTATTAACAGTAAGCTGGTACCAGACTGGAATTTGGTTCTCTCTCTCTGTTAAGAGAATGAAGTTTTCTTGGAACGCTGCCTTTGATAACAGACTGTGTGAATTACCTTGCATTTAAGTGATTTATATTTGCTTTTAAAATCCTTTTGTTACTTTGGTTGAGTAAATAAGTAGTATTTCACAATGACCTATGAAGATTATGGCGCATGTAGATAAAGTTCATTCTGCTTCTACAAAAATTAACCCCTCATTGCCAGACTTTTGCCATCCTGATGCCCTTAAAACATGGCAACAGTCTACTCCTAAATGAGGGAATTTAAAATGGGTAAACAATAGCTGTCAATCCAACAGTCAGGGCTATGGGAAATCCAAGACAGCGGCTTGGTTTTTTCCGGCTCCCTGACAAACCTCATTTTTTTATTTGATGGGATAAAGCCTTCCCTGGCTGCAGGGTTAATGCCCTTACAATGGGGGGAAAAAAAATTACGTTTCACTGAATATTAAATTCTAGTTTTGTTAATTAAGGTCTGTGTTACCAAGACTCACTTCCCAGATAGTTCCTTGCTGTTATGTTATATTGCTAAAAAGTTTCATTGAATTATTAAAGGACACTCTAAGTTTGTTTCTGAAGCTTATCTCAGTAATCTATTTTTGGATGAAGATCAGATGCCCCACGACCTACAATCAGGGGATTATGCATACCGGAAAAGACATAATTTAAAGGACTATCTCCAACCTGGATGGATGGGGACCCATTTGGGGCTGGCTAAATGACTCTCTTTGTATCTACACCCTCAATTTTAATCAGGCTAGCCTGGAGTGGAATCCCTGG